AGAGTGCCTCCTAGGATGCCCACCGGCCCGCCGCCTAGCGCCACACGCTAGCCCATTGCTAGCACGGCAGCTCCGCCCGCCACCTAAACGCCCTCCAGCTAAGCGTGCTGCCAGCACGCCACCAACGCACTGCCTACATGCACTAGCCCACCAGCACGCAAGCGCCTAGCAGCCCGCCAGCCAGCGCGCCAGCACCTAGCGCCTGCTGCCAGCGACCGCTCTTACTGACGTCCGCACACTCGGCAGCAGCCAGCCACTAGTCCACGCTAATAGCCAGCCACACCGATTCGCCAGTTATTGCTAGTTGCCTGCTCCTAGCCCGCTGCTCCGCCTACACACCGCTCGCCTTAGTCATGGCGTCCGACGGAGTTATGCGCTTCGATGTCGAAGGGCTTGCGATAGAAATCAACACGTGGCTGTTGCACTCCACACATCACCTCCTGAGCCAGCGTCAGGACGGTGACACCTTGTACGCTCGCACTCCAAGTGAGGCTGCTTGCCCCCAATGTGTTCCACCCTCTTACTTCTGAGGTCACTTCGACGGCCGGGGGACTCTTGCTATTCGGTGTGCAGTCCTGCGATGCTGCTGCACGCAGAGCCTAGTGATCAGTACGCAGAGCTGATGATGACTTGCACTCGTCCACCTTGCCTACCTTCTCAGCATCCTTGCTCACTTTGTTGTGTTTAGGAGACATTGGCCCACCCACTGATCGACTGCTAAAAAGGTAGTGTGCTATCTGTCGAGTACATCAGGTATGGGGCTTATGCTTGAAGGGCTACATCTGTTAAGAAGTGTAAACAGCGGATTGATGTTTGACTAACAGAATCGGAGTACAAGTAGGAAACCCTGGAAAACTATATTCCCTAACGCTAGCCCCACTGTAGCCTAAGAACATATAAACATAAAGTTTTGACACACCCCCATAGGTGAAGTGGGGGATAGCAAGCACAACCAACAAGGGGTCACAAGACCAGTCAAAGCAAAGCAAAGCAAAGCTCAGGGTGGATCTTAAGATCACCACATAGTCCGAGCATAAGCAAGTGACCACAATGCCAGTTCACATGCAGAGTTATTAAAGCACATGCAGTACAGTGACCACAACCTAGTAGGAGTAAATATGCAGGTATATATGTGGCGAAGTCAAGAGACAAGCAAGTGAGGCAGAGTAGGCACAAGGCCTAGAGCAGTGCAAAAATGCTGATGATCACCAGACCCTAGAGCCTTGGTGAAGATATCAGGAGTGTTGGCCTATAAGGCCATGTAAGCAAGGCGAAGCTGACCAAGCTGCTGTAACTCTCGAGCGATGTGCTTCGTTCTGTGCTCCAGTCTCTGCTCCCGACACAAGGCAATCATGGCCTTATTATCGACGAAGAGAACCGGAGGAGAACGAGGCCGCTCATCAAAGTCGGTGAGTAAGTAGGTCAGCCAGCGTAACTCCTCTGCAACCATAGCCCCAGCGTAGATCTCGGCCTCATAGCTGGAAATAATCACAGAAGATGAGCGAATGGACCTCCACGAGACAGAACCAGTGCTGAGACTAAAAATGTAACCCTGTGACAACCGCTGAGTCTCTTGGTCGTCAGCCCAAGAAGTGTCTGAGTGCTCTGTGAGCACAACTGGGCCCCGTCCCCCAAGCACAAGCCCCGTGCCTGATATACTGCGCAAGTAGCGCAGTACCCTCTTCGCAGCCTAGTAGTGCTCAGGGCGGTGTCTCCCGGGCGCAACGTAGCGTGCCAGGATGCTGAGAGGGTACGCGAGGTGCACGTCATCAGGTACATGAGGCAGCCCACAAGCTCTGGATATGGACCACTCGGCTCTACGGACTCGTCCGAAGATGGAGCTGAGAGCGTGTAGTTTGTAGGCAGAAGAGTGGACTGTGGCAAGGAGAACTGAAAGCGGAACAAATAATAGACTTGCTGTGCCATGTGTGACTGAGTCAGAGTGATGGTGCACGCTGCTCAATCCCGGGTGATCTGCAAGCCAAAATAGCTCCGCAGCACACCCAGGTCAGTGCAAATGTGTCTCTTCTGCAGCTCCGCATTCACAAGGGCCAGTGTCTCAGTGTCAGTTGTAGCAAAGACAAAGTCGTCGACGTACACGAGGATGTAGAACGGCGGCAAAGAAGTGTCGGTGCGCAGAAACAACGACGGGTCAGCAGTCGAAGGAGCAAACCCAAGAGCTGCAAGTGTCGTCCTCAGTGTGTTGTGCCACTCGCAGGGCGCCTTGCAGAGAACATAGACTGGCCGCCGGAGGCTCTACTGGGTACCCTCAGGAAACGACCCAGTGAAGCCAGGTGGGCGGTGCAGCCAAATCTCCTTGTGAAGGCTACCCTGCAAGAAAGCTGTCGAAAAGTCAAGTGAGTGCAGCTCGTAGTCACGCTGTGCTGCAACATGCAGTAACACCCGAAGAGCGACCATCTTCAGGGTGGGGGAGAAGGTCTGGAAGAAATCAACCCCCTGACGCAAGGTGAAGCCTCGTGCAACATAACGGGTCTTCAGATCAATCAAGACAGGCGGAGAACCCGGTGGCCGCTTCACCCTGAAAATCCACATGCCATCGACTATGTTCGCCCAAGGAGGAGGAACTGCTTCGACGTAAGTCCCTGTGGATTTCCAGGATGCCAACTCAACATCCATGGCCGTCTGCCACTGAGAGGAGCAAGGACCCGTGATCGCTTCTGCGTAAGAGTGCAAGGTCGGGATGTCCAGTGCATCCGGGTCTCCCTCAGGGGCAAGCAGCATGGCAGCGAGATGAGGTACAGCAGTCGCGAGACACTCCAACTCAAACTGCTTGTCCTCAAGGACGTCACAGCCACAGGCAAGCTCACCCCCAACGGACGGAGGACAGTCAGGCTCAGAAACAGGACTCGCGGAGTAGTAAAGACGGCAGGCAGCAGTAAAGTCAACAAGCTCAATGACGAAGGCAGGCACATCAACAGACTCAAGGGTAGGGTCAGTGACAAGTGTGGCCAAAACACGTGTAACAGTAGGACTCGTAGCACGAGCAAGGTCAGACTCAGGGTCAGGAACGTCAGGAAGAGATGACGCTAGAGGAGACGGCAGGACAGGGCGCTGTGCAACAGAGGAAGGACGAAATGCCATGGTGTGCATGCTGGGGACAGGTGGAGGACGAACACGATGAGCACGAGGAGTACGAGCAACAGGCAAGGTAGGATGAAACGCAGGCTCTTGACGCTCAGTCAGGGAGTCTGTAAGCTCAGTGTAACGAGAAGGAACAGGCAGTGGGGAGTCAGGCAGTAACTATGTTTGAGACGAGTCAGATGGTGAAGTCAGTAGAGGAGGAGCATTACCAGTGGTAGGTTGTGTTAGAATCCCAGCCACTAACCACTGGGATAAAAGGGCTTGTTTGTGTAGCGGGTGAGTGCGCCCATAACCCCCCAGGCCAACGTGCCTGTAACCCTTCCCTAGGATCAATCGGGGATCTCAAGTGGACCTCTGACACCCCCCCGCACTAGGATGCCCGAAGTGCACATGCTAGGATTCGAACCCGAGACCGCTCTGATACCATGTCAGAATCCCAGCCACTAACCACTGGGATAAAAGGACTTGTTTGTGTAGCGGGTGAGTGCGCCCATAACCCCCCAGGCCAACGTGCCTGTAACCCCTCCATAGGATCAATCGGGGATCTTCAGTGGACCTCTGAAAGGTTGCTGTGCAGAGGCATACGGAAGACGAAGAACCTGGTGAAGGGCCGAGCCAGGTGGGACTGCGGCTGGTCCCAGGAGAACGGTCGTCGTTGCCGTGGCTGGGCAGCTCTCCCAGCTCTAGTATGTCCAGCACCAGAACCTCCTGCACCTCCAGTGGTAGTACCTCCATCAGCGCGAGCTCCAGCACCTCCAGCACCAGAACCTCCAGCACTTCCAGCTCTAGCACCACCAGCTCCGAAACCTCCAGTTCCTCCAACGGCAGCACCTCAAGCACCGCCAGCTCTAGCACCTCCAACTCCAACACCTCCAGCACCAGAATCTCCAGTACCGGTCTCAGGAATAGGCAGCGATGACTCATGCTGCTCCCAGAAGTAGGGAGGGTTGTGGCAGAGGCTGCAACGCACCGCAGAACCTCCAAGAGTAGTACCCTCGACTCCAAGAGTCGGGGTAGCGCCCGCGAGCAGGTGCGGCGCGCGAGGTGGCAAGGGTAACTACGGTAGGTACGGACCTAGCCTAGCGGCTGATACCATGCCAAGAAGTGTAAACACCGGAATGCTGTTTGACTAACAGAATGGGAGTACAAGTAGGAAAGCCCAGAAAACTGTACCCCCTAGCGCTAGCCCCACTGTAGCCTAAGAACATATAACAATACAATTTCGACAACGGCTAGTCACACTCTCTGGGCGCACCGATGCATCGTGGGCAAGTGACAACACGACTCATAGGTCTTTGCTGGGCTACTGCTTTAGCCTGGCCTCGGAAGATGTCTCATAGAGATTGATGAGTTGTCATCAGTTGCTTCGTCCAGTGTTGGGGCAGAGATCTACGGTGGTGCTATGGTTGCGCAAGAGCTCCGCTGGTTGACCTTCTTGCTCACCGACCTTAGTGAACCGCCTCGCTCTGCCCTGGTTCCGTTCGCTAACAACAGGGCCATGATTCTTATGTGTTAGTAGCCTAGACTGGAGGGCGAGGCGAAACACATCCAGATGTGGTACTTCCTACTGCGTAAGTTGCAGCAGCGCAACCAGGCACACATGGTACAGGTGGCCTTAGAGGCCAACGCTACTGATATCTTCACTAAGGTGCTTCACCCTTATGATTAGCAGCGTTTCTGCTCACAACTTGGCCTTGTCTGAAGAGGTTCTCACAAAGATATTATTACTCTTTTGCTTATACTTATTTATGAACTCATAGACCTGCCTTTTATCCATTTGTCTTAGAGGCAAGGCTGGTTGTACCACCAAAAGTTGTATCTTTGACCAATCCCGTGATCGATAAATTGGAACATATTTGTCCTTTCTTGTGATGATGCAGGCTCACCACTTGGTCCCGTCACGGTGACGAGATAATCCTGCTTACCTGTGTTGGCCGACGGAGGACACTGGATCGTCTTGTAGGGACCTCCTGCACAGCCCAGGTTGGTGTGTAATGCAATGCTGCAAGACTTTTCGTCGGGTGCCACGAGCACGTTGGCCCACGTGATCTCAGCATCGGCTTTGTACAATTTCTTCCCAAAAGCGATGCCTTCTTATGTTAGTCCCAAGTGACTTTAGCAAAGTGACTTGAGCCTGGCAATTGAGTTGCACGCGGTTCCAAAATGAATCACAGCAAAACCTGCATTCCAAATGCTTCTTCGTATTTTGTCTGGGTTTTTCTGATATTGGCTTGGCGCCAATCCGCTCGCGGCGTGTTGTTTTGTTTTGTTTTGATTTGTGTGTGTGTGTGTGTGTGTGTGTTTTTTTTTTTTTTTTTTTTTTTTTTGCTTTGTTGTGCGTGTCGCGCTTGCACCTGCATCGATGGCATTCCCCAGAATTGTTGTTGTTGTTGTTGTTGTTGTTGTTGTTGTTGTTGTTGTTGTTGTTGTTGTTGTTGTTGTTGTTGTTGTTGTTGTTGTTGTTGTTGTTGTTGTTGTTGTTGTTGTTGTTGTTGTTGTTTTTTTTTTTTTTTTTTGCTTTGTTGTGTGGGTCACGTTTGCACCTGATTCGATGACATTCCCCAGCATGACTGCATATGAAAAAACAAGCATGCCATCAAAAGTTGGATGTCTCTGTGCGTAGTGACATTCTCTGAAATGTTGTTCGCGACGCCATACAACATGTACGCGTAAAGGGGGAAAAGCGGTATGCTATAAATAGCTACGATAATTGGCTACCATCCTTACTGGCACACGTAACATAGAAGTTGACCAGCATTAGCATCAGTATCAACCATCGCTTTCTCAGCCCTTACCTATCCATAACTTAACTTCCGAGCCCTCACGGCCCGAGCCCTTTCTTTTCCCAAAACTTATCTTCCCTACCCTTACCTTCCCCGGCCTTGCTGTCCCAACTATTACTGTCCCAGCCCTTTCTTTTTCAGCACCTTCCTAGCCCTTGCCTTCAGTCCTTACCTTCTTACACCTTACCTTCCCATCAATTGCCTTCCTAGTTCTTGTCTTCCCGGTCCCAGCACGTACCTTTCTTCTGCCACCCAGTGAGTCTAAGCTAACCATTGGGAAGTGATGAGCAGCGGGCAAACCTAACCCTGGTGTACGGACTGGACAAAAATTGCCGAAGGTACATACGCTCTCGTATCGTAGCATGGCGGTATCAGGTGCTGACCAAGGGCCGGCTGGCCAAGAGGTTCGATCTTCTTGTTAATCAACCTACACCTGGACGGGAGGAAAGGGGAAGCTTTACGCACGAGGCATTTGTGGCAAATCATGCCTAAAGTACGGAATTGCTTTGGGCCTTATGTATTGCTCCTGCCTTCTATGTGTGTTCACGCATTCTTAGAGCACCCCTAAATCCATTTGATCGTTGGTAACGATGAAATTTTATCACAATTGTAATGCCTTGATGTGTTTGTTGCAGGTTTCATATTTTGCATTATATCTTTTCCCCCCCCCCCCCCCCCCCCCCCCCCCCCCCCCCCACCCTTCCCCTCTATTCGTAAAATAGAGGGTTGCTCACATCAGATTTCCAATTGGACATTGATTTTCTGAACCACCTCTAGGCTTTCAAACGGAATATGTACATTTCTCCAAAAACCATGCTTTCTACTAGGGAAGATATGCAGATGGATTTTATTGATTTGCCCATTTCAAATTTATTGATTTTATTTCAATTGTAATTCACCCTCCCTTCGACCCCCAACAATCCATTTCAAATAGTCAATTATCACATGTTTCACAACAGCATGAGTGGGCATTTTGTGTCCACGCACTGCATCGCTCGTCGGTTAGAATTATTGGGTTTAATCAAGTGGAAAATCTTGTTACTAAAAGGAATAATAAATGCCACTAGCAACCCAAAATTATACCTCTTTGTGTCAATGATGATCTGGTAGCCAAGGACACGGCAAATGCAGTGCATGAGCTCATCATCAACGACGATGTGGTGCGAGCACTATCAGACATCGTCGGGAAGAGCCATGAGAAGATCAGAGGTTCATTAACCACAATCAATCCTTTGCCAATAAAACTTGGAGGCCCAGCTAATTCATGTCATCAGATGGTTTCCACGAGGCGAAACTATTCACCTGTTGCTTGTTTTACGCGATCCAATTATCATGCTTAAAAGAACCGCATACTATCTATGGGAGGTGGCTAAGTCATTGAAATTTCACCTCCTTAGATTCCTGGCGAACATCCTCATCGAGCTGAATTACCTCAACCCCCTGTTTCAACAACGCCAAGTATGTTTCCCATAAAATGTTGACATGCCCTTCATCCTGGTGAACATGATTTGTGATGCTCACATTTTAAACTAACCACCAAGAATGTGTCTTTCCAAATCTCAATGTGCATCTTGACGTGACCTTGGTTGAGCGTCAAGTGGAGCAAACTCACATACGCCTCACCCAATGCTACATAAACATTCCACACGCTCACGTGTTCTTGCATGGAGATGAGCTACACTTGCCGGAGTTCTTGGAGAAGCACGCTTCTATCAAGAGTCACATTATGCGAGCTGAGGACATTATGCGAGCTGAGGAAAATCCCAAGTCAGGCATATGCTGCCTCTAAGAGAAGCGCTTCGATAGGCACGTGAAGGAGGGCGATTTGGAGGCGTGCTACGCAATTGCAGTGAAGTATGATGTGGAGATCAACAAGACTTGGAGGGTAGAGGCAGATTTGCGTAATCTAAAAAGCACAAAGTTGTTTCTATTCCAAATTTACCTGCAGGACGACGACATGAGGCTTGTTGCAATCAAAAAGTGGCTGAAGCTGCTGGTTAAACTCTTGAAATCGAGACTTGCAAGATTGTTTCCCATGTTACGAATATATGCGCATTCGTCCTGTCGTATCTCAGACTTGCGTGTTTGTTTTCCATTTATGACTAAATGTGAGTTCATCATGTCTGATCTCAGTGTACTGGAGGATGATGTCGACCACTTGCATGTTGTACTAATCGTCTTGTTTTGTTATGTATTAGTCCCTTTTTCTCCACAACATTGTTCTTGCTTCAACAGTTCAATGGTTTTCATTATGGATGATTTTTTTTTTAACTTCAATTACGTCTTGCTTGACTTGGGGAAAAAGAGCTATACGATGTCGCTACAACAAGGATGGCCCTGGATCAGGTGGCACACAATCGTCACTATGCAAAGCGCGTACGAGCCATTACCGCAAGAAGAGAGCTTCCAGACCTACAATCCATCGGATAGCATCATACTCTGAAGCCACCTAGTATTGCATGTAGGATGTGTAGTGCGCATGTCTACGCGGGAAATTTGACACAACCGTGACATCGATTATGGTGCGTAAGCGTACTTGGTGGTAGTTCGGATTTTTCCATGACTACATGTGCCGAGCGAGTACGAGACAGGGCTGACATTTCAAAAAGAACCTCTATGATTTTGACCCGCAAACATTTTTGTTTACTATGACGTCACTTTGGCCAGAAAATGGCTAGTCTGAGCCAATTGGATAAAAAACTTAGTGCTGAAAAAACCGCAACCCTGTGTCGCGCTATTAACACATAGCCTGCGGCTAAGTGTGAATTGCACAGCAGCTTAAGGTGAGGTTGTACTATATTGTTGTTTGTTTCCTGTACTCATACTTTCATTTGTGTGCTCGGTATGTACTGTACATATACAGAGCCGGGCAGTGGGGGGGGAAGCTCGAGGAAATTGGTGGGGGCAGAACTGAATTCGATTCCAGGCTGTGAATTCGACTCAGAGAATGCAATTCCAGCTGGAAGGGTGCATGCCGAGTGGGCCACTGGGACCCAGCTAGCACCTAGAAGATGTCGCGAGCAGCTCTGCTGCTACGCGGCTTGGCAACTAGAGTTAGCTTGTGGGCTAAGCAACCTAGGCAGAAGGATGGTTGGGACTTAGGCAGAGGAGGATACCTGCTCCGTGCTTTTTGCTTGTTTGTTTCTCGCAATACTGCAATTCGTTTTCCCAAACCACTAAGGCAAGCAGTTAAGAGAAGCTCAGGCAAACTGACGGAGCCCTTGCGAGGGAGAAAATTTAGTCTTGTTGCAAACATCCAAAAAGACAGTAGAGAAGCGTACGGGCGCAAAGGCCCGGTGTTAGTCACGGAGTCGGGGCCGTGAGGCATGAGTGATACTGATCCATAACTACACATCCATTAGTTGCGGTTGGGACAAAGGTATACCGCTGGGACTATGGAAGGTTAGGGACAATTGCCTGTGAAGCCTGGTTTTCGTTCAGGAGGAGGAGTTAGCGAAACGCAGGGAGGAAAGGACCCTGATCTGTCGAAAGAGGGTGAGAATCATTAGGAGAATCTGCCTAGCTCGGTGCACAATTCACCAGGGCGACGCAGCGAGGCAAGATCTGTGCAAGAGGGATCGCAGCGAGGAACGTCTGAGCGCGGCGATGCGCACAGACCGGAAGCAAAACAGAACTTCAGAGATGGGATTTTCATGGTCTTTCCGGAAAGCGCAGTGCCACCAGGGGGCCCGAACAAGGGGGTTGGCTTGTAGGAAGCGGAGAGAGGGAAGCAACAAGCTGGGGGACGGGGAGGTCTATGAACATGGCACCTCCAAAGATCGAAATACCAGACCGCTTCTTAGGGGCACCAGGTGAAGAGCCAACACTGAAGAACTATCTCATGAAGATTGAGGATATACGGTACACCTAGGTGAGAGAGGGGTTAGATCCGATAGATTTTTTCAGAGGATTGGGAAGGACACTGAAGCGGGAGGCACTGACACACTACAGAGTGGAGCGTCAGGGGCTGTTGATGTAGTGCAAGAATGGGGACTTTGCGTAGGGAGAGATCACGGACCGATTTTTTGACATGTTGCGCGAGCAGTTTCCCGAGCACTCGACTGTGCGCATGACAGAGTTTCAAGACTTTAAAAGGGGACGGGCCTAGTTGTTGCTGGCATACTACAACCGGCTGCTGGAGCTGGCGGAGGATATGGGCTGCGTTGAGAAGCGTACCTTGGTGACAAAATTCCTGGGGGGGTTGGAGGAGGAGCGGATGAACGAGATGAAGACACGCTTGCACGCTTTGGGGATGAAGGCGAGACTCAGGCAGGTGTATCAAGTGGTGCAAGAAGTGGAGGAAGGGCGGAGGTTCTTCAAAGGCTTGAGAGGAGCAAGCGCCAGCCGCTCAAGCGAGCGAAGGAGACCTGCCTGGGCAGCAGCTGAAGGCAAGAAGGGGGAGGAAGAGTGCAGAGAGAAGCCCTGGGAAGACCCAAGGCGGTGCCATAAGTGTGGGGAAAAGGGAAATATCCAGAAGGACTGCACAGTGGGCATTGTATGTGACACCTATGGCATGGAGGGGCACTTCAGGTGAGATTGCCCCAAGGCTCCCACCTCCACCTGTCAACGGGAGTTGTGTATTGGCCCCGTCCTCGCTTGGGCGGAGCCGACTTCGTGTTTGGGTGTCAAGAGAGACAGTCGACTTGCAGCAGTGGGCGACGCCGACTTGGGGGAGCTGGTCGACGGGTTTGGTCGGCCTGCACGTGGCTCGTCAACCTGGAAGTCGGCGCCGACTTAGGAGGGCGCCGACTTTAGGAGGTCGACAGGGAAGTCTGTGCCGACATAGGAGGGCGCCGACTTCAAGAGATCGACCTGGAAGTCGGCGCCGACTTGAGGGCGCCGACTTGGGAGGGTCGACCTGGGGAAGTGGCCAACTTGGTGACGCCGTCCTGGGGAGTGGCCGACTTGGTGAAGTCGGCTGGTGGTGGTCGACAACGACCTGGTGGTCAAGTCGGCGCCGACCTGGGAGGGTTTCCAGGTCGACCAAGTAACCAGGGCAACGAAAATCGTGGAAGAGCGCGACGGTCGCCCAGGTGGTTCTGGTGAAGCCGACCTTGGTGGTGGTATCCCAAGGTCGACGTGGCTCATCAGGTGCAGTTGATAGCACGTGGACGACCTGGTGCTCTGCGCTGTGCGGGTGACGCGACACAGCACGCCAGTCATCTGTGTACACCTGCGAAGCGGGTGCGCTGCTATCTTGCGTGTGCAACGCTGTGCAGCCGCCTTGCTGCAGCGTTGGCAGGCCGCGACTTTGCACTGCTGGAGCGCGGTCGACCATGTCGTTCTTGAAAGTGGTCGACCGTGCTGCCCTGGGAGTCGACCTGCATGCTTGCTAGCTCTGATGTAGTCAACCTTGCCAATGTTGTTGCTATCATTCTGAACCTTTGTTGCCAAATTTTGCTAGTGAAACTCTTGCCAATTCTCCCCGTGAATGTGTGCGTAGAGAGAACACAAGCAAACGACTAAGGAATGAACACAGAGATCACTCCTACCCCGTGCCTACCCCGTAGACTAGCTCCCGTTGCTAGAGTTATCTCCGCATGGTGCGGTGAGCGCGGACGGCACCGCGACTTACCTTCGGTCTAGTCGACATAGTTCCAGTTACCTATCGTTTTTGTAGGCCGGCAGCTGTGCGTTAGTTTCCATGGTGGGCGTCGATGACGCAGGAGTGGTAGACACCTTGGAGGCACGGCTGGAGGATGCGAGGAGACGCCACTTGACTGGCGAGTACGGGGAGACGCTCCCATTAGCAGTCGTCGAGGCAGGCATCTGCGCCGTGTGGGCGGCAGAGCACCCTTCTCGACCTGTCTCTCCTCGACTGGTGAACAACCAAGTCGGCATCGACGTGGGTGTCAACGCCGGCGACCAAGTCGGCATCGACGTGGGTGTCAACGCCGGAGGCGACCAAGTCGGCAGCAGTGCGGGAGGCACGTCGAGGCAGAGAGGAGTGTTCCGGACGGCCGATGAAGTCGGCGGCGTTCAGGCGCGAGGGCTGCAGTCGTCGGCGGCTGCTGGCTCCTCGCAAGGCGACGTTGGTGGACGTCGAGGCAGCGTGACGCCGGCTTCGGCGACCCACGTGACTGCGAGCGGCATAGCACCGACCTACGGCTACTTCAAGTTCACACCGGACAAGGTC